AGCGGGAGGACCCACTGCGTGGCCCGGGGTGGAAGCCACCGGCAAGCAGTCATCCCCAAGCGCGCAGTCCACCGCGTAGCAAAGCGCCACGCCCACAATTGTTACCAAGGACTCTCCTGATTGGACAGTTGCAAGGCCCCGCCCTACCACGACTGAGTGACAGCAGGCCGAGGTCTATGAGCCCAGGTTGTCTTGGCAGCGGGCCACAATCTGCCCTTTGTAGCCTAAGGCCGTTCAGGAATTATGACTCTTCTTCACATTCTCTTAAAAATGATAAAAATGACCTCGCGTCCTGAACGGTTTGTCTCAGTGGATAAGGCTCCGGCCTCCGGACTGAAGGGTCCCAGGTTCGATTCCGGTCAAGGGCATGTACCTTGGTTGCGGGCACATTCCCAGTAGGTGGTGTGCAGGAGGCAGCTGATGGATGTTTCTCTCTCATCGATGTTTCTAACACTCTATCCCTCTTCCTTCCTCTCTGTAAAAAATCAATAAAATATATATATTTTTTTAAAAATGACCTCGCCATAGATTAAGATCAGTCTGGGTCCATTTTGATATCTGGTCATTTCCGGAGGGGAAAGTTCGGCCCTTGGGTCCCCCACCCCCACCCCCACTCATCTGGCACTTTACAGAATCCTGTGGTGTTAGGGGCACTTGGCTCTGAGGGGAAGTTTGAAGCTAGACCAGGCCCAAAGCCCCAGATGCCAGCATGTGTGAAACATATGAGGCAAAGTAACCACCGGAAACCTGTTCTAGGAACCCCATTCATACCCATTTGGTGAAAGGTCACAGGAGGCAAAACTGAAAGAACACTGCTTAGTGAAAAATAATAGATGGCAAAGAATAAAGAATCAGGACAGTGGCCATCTGTGGGGCATAACAGAGCTAAATCAGAACAGAAACATCAGGAGACCCTCCCCACTGCCACAGGCCATTTGTGAATCTCGATCCCAAGGGTGTTAATATTGTTATGACTAAATTGTACCGTAACGCATTTTGTATGTTCTTATCCGAATTAATTTGTATTTATTTATTTTTAATTTAGAACTCGTTTTATCTCTTCCAATGAAGAAAAATGTGTCTTCATTGGGTCAAGTCTGCGGAAGGGGACAAGGACATGAAGTATCTGAGGAAGTGGGTTGGGTGACTGACTATCTCCTGTCTGAGCTTTGTCAGCACTTTGGTGAAGTCAGAGCAGGAGCACCTGCTGGAGGAGCCAGCACAGAGTCGTGGGCAGGCGTGGGCTTTAAGTTTCTCCATTCCCACTTTTTGCCTCTTTGTCCTCATCTATGACCAGCAGGGCGTGCATGTCAGCCTGTGCTCCTCAATGTACAGGTCCCCAGGTTCTGTCCCGGGGGGCAGGTGGTGATCTGCCTCCCAGATGTCTCTCTGCCTACTTGGCTTAGTTTTCCAGCATCTGCTCACAGGTTCGGGCCATATCGCTGAGCTTGAGGCGAACATAGTCCACTCGCTGTAGTGCCATCTGACAGTCCTTGCTTGAAGAGTAGCTGGAGCCCTCGTGGGGCTGCCCTGTGGCCACCTGGGTTAGGTAACGGATCTGAGCCGACAGCTCCGCTTCTACGTGTTGCACCGACGCCCTGAAGGCCGCCGCGTGTCGGTGTAGCAGCCGCTGATTGGGTTTTTCCTTGGAAAGTTCCAGGATCACGGTGCCTGCATTCTGCAGGATGGCGCCGATTTCCCGTTCGATGTCTTCCAAGGCGCGTAGTCGTGGCTCGGTTGCTAGGCTGTAGGTAGCCATTGTCTGTCGCTAGGGGAACCCACAGGATATTCCCTCTCTGCGGGTGTTTGAGCTGATTGCTGACCAACTAATTGTTGGGCTGCTGGTATTTAGGGCAGTGGCCCCAATTATAAATCCAGTCCAGCCCAAGTTAAAAAAACAGAAGCGGCCCTTCTCTGTAACCACAGGATTAGCCCTGCCTAAACGAGGCCTCAAAAAATTGAGTATAGACTCACTGGCTTGGCTCAGTGGAGAGAGCGCTGGCCCCACTGTTCAAATCCTGCCACTTACCAAAGTTTTCGACTCTCTATTCCTCTCCAATAAAAAAAGTCAATAAGATATATTTTAAAAGAAAGAAAAACTTTCTCGCCACCGACAATCCCCAGTAAAAGGCAAAAGGTTAATCCTATCTGAGAATAAACACAACGCACTCTGCGGCGCCCAAGTTCCCTTCCCCAAGACCTACAACTCCTAGTTCACTTATGGTGGCGTTTTAGCGCTAGAGGTATTTTCTGCCCAAAGTTTGCACAAGACGTTTTTCAAGTAGGTTTCTTGTATTTAGAAATGACAAGTTAAAAAAAAGTCTTTTAAACTTGAAAAGGATTGTACTCTGCGCAGGGTATTATGGGTATGCAAATGAGGCTCAGTCATCACCCTTGATATTGTACAGATACCTTAGTAGTCACTGGGTGCCTCTGGAGCCACCATTAAAGGGCGAAGCAGAGGTCAGGCTGACTGGGCTCTAAACCTCATTCTGGTTCAACCATCGAAACTGGTTTTATTCCTTTTTTTTTTTTAATTAAATCTTTATTGTTCAGATTATTACAGTTGTTC